AGGTCCAGGAATGGGACAAGCAGCTTTTGCTCTCTGGCAGACTTCACAGACTCCTTCTTGCACGGTGTCTCCAGCTGAGGAGCACCACCCCGCAGCGTGCACCCATGCAACCCACTGGCCCTGGCGCGGGCCTGCAGGACCAGGAAGGGATTCCTAAGCTGGCTCCGCACCAGGTACTAGCAATCTGCATGAGCGAAGACCCTAAATCAGCTTTGTACAACACCTCAGCTAGACCAGGTATAGCCAAGGCCATTGGTACAAATTCAATGTTTCTCCCATGGAGCTATCCCAGCCAAAGCTGGGCTCTGTGATACAGGAATACCCACGCTCACCCTTTTCCTTCTCTACTAGCTGCTGCCCCTGTTTCTTGCATACTTTTACTACACATGTTCAGACAAATGCTCTGTTATAATGCCAAAGAAAGTCTACTTTTTGAATTTCCCCTAGACCTCCAAAAAATGCAAGTCAGAACTTACAATCGTATGATTAATTTAAAAAAATTCACAATCTTTAAGGAAAAAAAAAGCCCTGGTGTTCTTGGATTCTCAGCCTTTGGGCTTTAAAGCTTTTCCCACAAGCAGACAGACTGTGCAGACTTACTCTCTATTTTAAGTTGCAACAAAAGTCACAGAAATACTGCACGTATAAGGAAAAACTCCAAACATCAAAAGCTGTGTGATAAGCCAGCAGTTTATCTAGCAATGTATGCAATCTAGCAGTGATGTGCAAAATACACGGGTCTGAGATTCAAGATTCTGGGGTCTCTAGGGTGCTAGATCAGCAAAATAACACAGCAGCTTTAACAACAGGGACCACAAATACTGTCCTCAAATAAGGTTTGTATTCTGCGCAATATGTACCAGAACTTAAAAAAATAAATAAATTTTAAGGATTCTCGGCAGTGGAAAGGAAATCAGGGCAGCATTCACTCCAGTGTAGCAGCTGAAACACCACACTCGCAATACTGTTTCCCTGTGCAGCACTGCCTCAGTCTCCTCCTCTCCAACCGCCAACCCACACACGGATGGGCATCTTATGAAAAGGATCACCAAGAGTTTTGCAAAGAATGGAGGTAACCGTAACTAGAGCTTACTCCCATGCTGAGTAGCCGCACATCAATTATATATGAAACTAAGAACCTTTATTATTGTCTCTTCTCCAAACAACAAGTATTTCAAAAATCTGGACCCTTCTACATTTGAACCGGAAAACATGCTTTGCTCCATCTACAGTAGTAGTATTTTGTGGTTCTGCCTGGTGTTGTTTAAACTGTATAAAGACATGGAAAATGATCCCCAGAACAGATTTTTCAGGCTACTTTAAAGACTCTCTATATTCCCATCAGGCTCAACTAATCCAAACATGATTATACCGGGTTCCAGACTGAGGTGGGTTTTTGTTCAGGATACACTACTACATTTCCTGACCAATGACAGGAAATAACTTTCAAAACTACTGTTTAAATATATCTCCCTCTCAAAATTTTTATCTTTTTTAAAGGCTCAAAGAGAAACAGGTATTTATATTTCCTTTTCCTCCTGAAGCAACTAAAGTTCTCCCTCTCCCAAAAAGCAAGTTTCCTGTGATTGGGAAAACAAGGAGCTGTACCAGGATCCCAATGGGCTATCGTAATGACAACTGGTCCAGTTCTGTGCTCTAGTCTGTGCTCCAATGCTTTGAGAGACTATCAAGATACTCTACAGCTTGGATCATAACACAATTTGTACTCAAGAGACTCATGACAGAAGGTCCTTCTTTCAATTCTTTGGCAGCATCAGCACTGGCATCTACTTCTCCTTTGGTTGGTAGTGAGACACTCCTACATCGTGTTTGGAGGAAACAAGGCAAGAGTACATCTTAACCTGCCATGGCCCAAAGAATGTGATGCATCTTATGATAAAGATCTAAAATGGGGGCCAAAGTTAACTCATGTACAAATCCTAAAATGCTCTGGGAACATTCTTTTTGTGTAAATGTCTCTCAGTGTAACTTCAGTTTCACTAAATGAGTTATTTTTGTCACTAACCCATTATCAGAAAGAAGGAAGATGATGCTAAATTAGCACGGAGCGGAGAGTACTTGAAACTAAAATGAGTGATAGCCTCTAACAGGAAGGCAGATTTGGTGTTTCTCATTAAAAGTGCAATCAATGGTATTCAGTTTCTATGCATGCCAGAATCACTATTTGAAATTCATTATTCATACCTGTATCATCTAATATTCATAAGTTTGCCAGCACGGTACTTTGGACAGTTTTCACCGTTTGTTCCTTTAAAATAGTCACATACTGTCCCATGGGAATTCTGACGTATCATAAGTTCTCTTGCAGCAACATCCCGGCGAATGACAATTCACAGAAGTTGTAGCCCTTTTAACAGGCTTGGAAATCTGTCAGCCACAGATCATGAAACATGACAGTTATGTATTGAGATAGCTGATAAGTCTCCTGGCTTTTCAGAAGATTGAGAGTCACTGTGGCCTACAGGCGTTTCTGCATGGCTCGCTGCCAGCTGTAGGCAGGTCAGTGAGCACTGCTAGTGGACTAGCACTGCTGAGAACAGAAAAATTACAAGTTCTCAGTTCTTAGCCTATTCCAGTCCTGCCGTTTCTCAAGTAATTACAGCCAAAGTTCCTGTGGATGCCTTGACGTTTCCTCCATACTACAGCATTTTAATTAATTGGTTTTTTTCCTGACAATGGGTGACTTTTATGTTTCATCCAAGGTTTGCTTTGCTTGTTAGAGAACTTAGAGTGAAATACTGTGGAACATTATTCAAATTTAAAAAGAATATTTTCCACAACTCTACTTTCAACCTCACCTTCAAATTAGCAAATTTTATTGGGTGTTTGATAATTTATTTACTGTACATGAAAATATGTTAAGTGACATGTTCAAAAAAAATCAAGCTAGCTGGTAATCACTATTCCATGTGCCACTTAACATCAGAAAATCAAAAGTTTAGAATTCATATGCCTCGTATGAGTGACTGTTTCATATTGTAACAGAGCACCATGTTAACAGCTCTGACAGCCACTGTCTTCTACTTTGTGTTTTATAATATGTACACAACATACGGGTTACTTGGGGTTATCCCAACTTCATAAAAATGCAAATAAGCATATAAGATGCAAAACAGAAAGACATAAGAGTTATGTATTTTGAAAACAAGTTGTGGATTTCCTTGCTGAAGGTCAGGCAGTGATTGACTGACCTGTATTTGCTGGTTTATCTATCAGCAGATGATGTAATTTGAAGTCCAGAACAAAACTGATTTATGTAAGTGATATTATCTAGTTATGCAATTCTCCAAGCTAAACCAGTCACTTTTGTCTTGCAAAGTATGCTTTAAAAATAAACAGCCCAAACATATGGGAGCTCTCTGCTGGGACAAACACACCCAAGATTTCACACCATCAGCTAGAAACTAACACAGTTCTACTTAAAATGCTGTGATTTACACTAGGGATTTTGAGTAAATTTAATTACTTTCCTGCATTTCAGCAGAGTATATCAAATGAAAATGAGTTCTCTCAGCATAAAACAGTGAAACAATGAAGAGCAAATGACTTAAGCCATCTTCATAAATCAATTTATGCAAGTCATGCTAAACTATGTGCTAATCCCAATCTACACTCCAGTCAGATGTTACTATATGAGTACATTCAGCAATTTTAATTTAAATTGCCTGCAGTTAGACAGAAAAGGGCAGCAAATCAGGACCACTGTCATCATCCGTATTTGCTACTGCAGTGTCACATTATAAGGAAAAAATGACAGAGCTTTCCCAATTCAGAGGTAAACAATGTACACTGGCTCTTCTGAAACGCTACTCCTAATCCTTTTAAACGTACCATGACACTGGTTGAACCTATACAGTCCTCGTGGTGGAGAGGAACAAATAGGACAGTAAAGTCTTTCTTCCAGATTTATTGTTTTCAAAGTTCAGCAACTTCATATGTTTTCCATTTTCCTTTAAAATGAAATAGAATCATGTGCAATTACTAATAGCTGGCTTTCTAAAGGGTAGGGAGGTTAATCTGAATACACCTGAGGCATTCACTCAAAAGTTCACTCAATGTTTTGAAATTCAGATATCTCACTGGATTGGATTTGAAACCCTGTGAAAATAGCTTATTCTCATGTTATTTCGTGGCTTCCACAACTATTCCCAAGTCAATTCCCTAATTGCTGGGGAGCATTAAAAGACAAGGATTGTTTCAACTTCTTTATTTACATCAGAATTCAAGCGGGCCAAAAAGATTATGTTCTGCTAACAGTCTATTTTTTGCACAGAAAAACATTCCCTTTGTTGTCAGTGGATCTTTCACTTATTAGCTGCTATGCCCATTTGATTTTTGCCAACAAATTAACAGAGCTAGCCATAAGATTTTTTTACGAAATTTATCTTCTCAAATCTGTGGAAACATTGACTCCATGTTTAACAGAAAGGGGGTTCTGAGGCTGAGTTTAGACCTTCAGATCAAATCAACAGCATAACAGGAACAGAAACCCAAATCATAAACCTTAACTTTTCAGTCTGGAGGTAGAAATAATGATAATTTGCCTACAAGGAAGTAAAATTCACTAAGGAAACCAGAAAGCTGCCTGCCAAGCAGAACTGTCCACCTCCAGCCAGCTCTACAATTAATTGCCTATCTCAGAAATGTACTTAAGATAGTCCTTTCTCATTCAGGGAACCACCCCTAAAATCTCACTAAGTCAGGTATTATTCTGGAATTACGATCACATTCTAATCCAAATCAAGAGTCATTTTACAGAAGAGTGTCAAAGCATCATCCCCATCTCACAGACAAAGGCATCCAGGTAGATTAAACAATGTATTCACAGTAATTCAGCCAGCTTGTGGTAGACCTACATCTATAGCCACGTTTCTCAATCACAACATGCGCACTGTAGTCTGTCTGCCACACTACAGAATGCTCTCATTTTTGAAGAAATTATGTTTCTTGAGAAGAGAAATCTGAGAAGTCTCTCTTACCTGGCAAAAAATGATGCTGCCACTGAGGTGCCTGTGGATACATCGCTAGCAACATATGTGCTCTGGGAACCAGGGAAGCTGTACAAGGAGGGTTTATCTGCATTGTAGCGGTTCAATGCTGCTTCAGTCAGGCCCTCTCGACTAGTCTCTGTCATAAGCTGAGAGATCTGAAGACAGAAAAAGAGAGATCAGCGTCATCAGATAAAGCCCACTAGCTCAGCCCTCCTCAACCAGAAGTGGCTTTGGTTTGCAGATGGAGTAAGAGGGCATCCCAACTACCACATCCTTGCAGCTCTGTGAAAAAGGTTATTGCTTCTGTCATGCTAATCTGCTGCACTTTGGCTCAGACTTAACCTCGTCTGCATTAAAACTAATAGGATAAATTCATCCCATCACTAGAAACACGAATAATGTCTGTGTCTTTCCCTCCATAGGGAAAGGAACATGTAAACTATAATCCTTGCTCAATTTCACCTCAGTGGATAGAAGAGATGGCTTGGACGTAGGAGATATTTACTTTTATTTCAGGAAAAAAAACCCCGTTTCTTTGCTTTCGTAAAATAACACAGCACTAGGTTATTAAGTGTTTTTGTTGATCTTTCTTTAGAAAAGCCAACACAGAGTATAAGAAGTTGTCCCCTGGGGTTCCAGACTATTTATCATCTCTCCGGAAAATCAAGATTATTACTACTCGTTTTCATTGGCTTTCTTACAAGATTTTAACCATCCCATGATTTCATTCTTCTGATGGCCCATTTAGCATTTTTTCCACATTAGGAAGCCACATCCCAGCTCTTAGTTGTCAGGAAGAGCAAATGCAGTTCAGCCAGGACTTGACCCAGGTCTCCTCAAACTAACTGAAAGATCCCTACCGACATCAGGGAAAGCTGACTCAGCCCTTTTGATGCACCTCCGCAAAACTCTGATTTCATTTTCTAGAATTCTTCTTTTGCATTTATTTACCATGGCATCAAATTAGCTTTTATTCACCTATGCGCATCACAAAATTGCTACATACCCCTACAAAGTACTCTCCCAAATTATGGCTAGCAATCTTCCAGCGCATAACTTCCTTCCCCCTGCAAACAGTACATTAGAACTAGTCTCTCATCTGCTCAATTTCAGTTCTCGTGCCTACCCTTATCGCCACAACAGCAATAGGGCATCTTTGTGAAGCATATCAAGTGAAGTACTTATCTCCGTCCTGTAGTTCTCTTTTTTCCGGGTAGCCTTGTTTTATTTCAGCTGCCGGTATGTGTTTCAGTTATTAAAGGCCGAGTTAAGAACTGTGTTTTGCACTTTGGAGGGAAGAAGTCACAAGATATGGAGATGTTCTTTCTCTTCTGCAGAGGATTAGCCCATAATCACTGTCAACCAATCACCAAGCCACCTTTTTTGCTGGTATAGAAAGTTTTACCCTTTCTCATTTAGTCAAGAAGATAATCTAAGAGTTTATCCTTATTTTAGTATTTTGGAAACAATCAGCTGTAATACCTTGAGGATAGGAATGTTAAATTAGCTACTGTATTCTGTAAGGAATGAGCAAAATTGCTGAAAGCACCCTGATCATCTTAGTCACATATTGAGGGTTTCTGGTTTACTGATTCACTATATGGAAGAGCAGCGCTCTCAGAAGGCTATTGCTGAAATCCTGGACTTTAATCTTCTAATAGTACTTTTATAACTCACTATTTCAGTCTGGCTGCCAGGATACCTCCCTACATTTCCACCATGTGGGCAATCAGACATTTTTTTCCTCAGTGTTCTCTTAACCGGCATATATTCACTTGGGATATCCAATATACTTGAATTCAATAAACAATAGTTTCCTTAAGCTCTTTATAACCTCTGCTAAATCATCTATTTGTATTTGCAATGAATGAACTGGATCCAGATTCTACCCTATAACCTCAAATTATCCTGAAACCAATTTCATCATCTACCATGACAGGAAGTACTGAGCAGACAAAGATTTACGAAGCTCTTCCTTCAGAGCAGGGTACGCACAGGGACCTAACTTCATCTTGGTCCATCCGCTTTGTACACCTGATGGTCCATCCCTGGGCTCATTAATCAACTGCCAGCAATGACAGCGTCATCAGGGAGTGACCCTCATTTCCATGGCTTCTTAACATGGCTGTTAAGAAGCAGATGAGTTGACTTATCTCAAGGCAATCTCTCTTGCAATCGTAACTTCTCCATCTACTGCCAAACGATGGTTTGCTGCTCCAAATAAGAATTTCCACAGCCAATGCAGCACATTTTCACCAGCCCCAGCAGATCCCCTGAAGCTGCAAGATGGTGGGGCTTGAAAGAAGCGTATTAGCCAACTGCACAAAAGGAAAGGATTTGTTTGCACCTGTATCTGGGATACTCAAAAAGCATCTATCACGCCATAGGTATAAAGGGAGTCACTGCATGGTATCTGCAGTTATGGAGACTTTCAGGTGATCCATACTCAAATCCACAAGTGCTGTGAATGTGAACAAGCACAGATCAAGCATTAGAAATAAAGAGCCTCAAACTGATTGAGGACATTTCTTGAAAGGTATTACCCTCGAGCTTCCTCAATATCTGATTAGATGCTTGGTTTATGAGCTTTTGAATAAGTTCTTAAATACAAGCACTCCAAAATAATCAAACGCTCACTCACCAAGAAGACAGGAGATTTTTTTGGAAGGATATGAAAACAGACCATTCCCCTTCACCTACGCAGTCAAACAGAAACAGACATTAGTGAGCAAGCAGAATGTTAATGTTTTTTAATAAATGGAGATGAAGATCTTAATATAAGAAAATGTGATCTAAGTGCAAACTGCTTAAGAACTCAGAGGAACTGAATAAGAAGCTAGAAATAATGAAATGTGTTCACAAATTCTGTATTTGTGGCGTACCACACTATCCATACAACAGAGAAAGAAAATAGAAGAAATGAATAATATTAATTTTAGGAATTGCATATCCTATGGACAAATGCAGAAGGGACTTGTTTCTATATAAATGTAGGCTTTTCTGTAGTACTGCTGTTCTATAGCGTGTCCTGTACAACAGCCCAAGTGCTACAAGGATAGTCAGCTGCTCAAACTGCAAGCTGGGCAACATCTGTATGGTACTGACCGCCAGATCCTGCTGGAGTGGCAGCAGCTCTTCCCTGCTCTTGTTCCTGTTAATTCACACAGCTTGCTTTGTTGCAGAAAACAGGAAGCTACTGTTGATGTTGCTATTGATGTATTATCTGCGAAAAACAGCATTCTAGTGTAAACAGCCACATCAGGGTGCCCTCCCAGAGCTCCCTCGGCCCAGCATTCATAACGCAGCATGTTGGGACTTGGTAAGCATCCTCTTGTCCTGAGGGTCTTCGACTACTGCCTGTTTTCCTTATCCACGCTGGCACGCTTCCTGGGCAAAAATCTGTCTCTCCAAGTGAATTCTCTCAGAATTAAGTTCCCAAATGCACATACTCTCTATCTCTGTTACTCTTTGCCTCAGCAGGGACACTTCTTCGTTGATAACGTTTTGTAAGGGTTCCAAAACTCAAACAATCTTTGTTTTACCTAGCACAAGACACACATAAATTAAGACAAAATAGGAAACAGCTTAAGCCAGAGTCCAGAATCTCCTAATCTAGGAATGGTTTCTCCTCCAAGTTGTAAAGTCTGGTTGTTTTCTGTGGCTGCTCTCTCTTTTCTGATTTTCTGGTTAGACCAGACACCACTTTCATGCTTTTAATAAACTTTCAATTTCCTTCCTCTACTCAAGCATCTGTCTTTGCAACCTCATTGTATTCTTAAGCGCTAAGGTTTTTGAGGTCCAGTGTTAGCACGTGCTTCCTTTGTCTGCTGGAGTGGGACTTGGAACAGTGAAATGTCTCCAGAAGCAACGAAAGCTGAAATATTTCCCTGAATTTCAAACATCCTCTTGTTCCTCATCTGGGAAATATGCAACATCACTTGATCATAGGTCCAAACAAATGGAAGTACACAGTGATATAGCAACATCATAACCTGAAGCAGAAAGCATCAGCTTTTGCTTGAACGGGTTCCTCAAGTCACCATGCTGCTATCTTTTCCTTATACCAAGCAAGGGCAGAGACCAAACTAAAACTTCATACTAGGCGCTGGAATTGTCCCTTTGAACATACAGCCAACAGAGAGGGAGGACAAAGATGGTGCTCTGCCAAATTCTGGGCCTGGCTATGAGCCTTTTTTGTCTCCAGTGCATATCAGAGTATTGCTTATGCTGCACAAATTTGTACTTTTGGGTCATTCTACAAGCTGAGTACCTCACTTGACACCTAGACACATGCCTACAATATTTGACTAATAAACCTTCATTTATTGCCAGAGTTCAATACATATACATATATATAAAGTGGCAGGGAGAAAGAAGGCTAAAGAATTCATATAGAGAGATCTAAGAGACTACTGATTTAGAATTAGTTGTACTCCATTTCTTTCGTTTGCCTCACAGGTTGGGCATGTAGAAACCATTTAAATTATTGTATCAAACTGAGGAACAGGCTGGGGAGATATCTTACTATCCCATTTACTTTATCTTCCAGTCACAGTACCGAACTATCCCTTTCTGCTCTTGACACTTCTCACTGAAAGTCACACAAAAACAATCGAGTAAAATAAAAATTTTTCACTGGAATGCACCAAGGATACATCGCACTCCTAAAGAAAAATACTCATAGAACAGGCACTATCAAAGCGCTTATAGAATTTCTCTTTCCCATCCTAATTCCAAAGACACGGTTGAAAACTGTACTTTGAACATTAACAAACTCAGGCTTTTTTATAGAATAAAGTATGTCTGGCAAGTACGTTTCACATAAATCTGCCTCTTCAGCATAGCTGTCTCGCTTACTATTTACTGACTTTCTGCATTTAAGAGGGAAAAGAATAGACCATTCCATTTTCTTTCCTTTCTCTTCTGTGAGTGCGCACATACCACATACATGAGGTTTAACATAAGTTAACAGGATATATTTTGAAAAATTCCTTTATTGAATTGCTGGCAGCACATCACTGCCTGGATAAGCAGCAAAAAGACAAAGCATGGAACAATGCAACCTTTCATGCCTCAATAAAAACCTTTTAAGTGCACATGGAACAAGACAGATGTCCCTCCCAAGGTCCCATTTTTTTCTCCTGTCTCATAAAAG